TCCACTGTCTCTCAGACCTTGTGGGGGGCCGGACTATATTTTGAAAAAAAAGAAAGAAAAGAGAATGAATTCCTATGCCCCACAAATAAACCAGAGATGCATTTTAAATAAAAGGACACATTCTACTCATTTAAAAACATGCTGATTCCTGGACCGTCTGTGGGCCGGATTTCGAAGGCGATTGGGCCTGATCTGGCCCCTGGGCCTTAGTTTGCCTACTCATGCCAAGGCCAGAGCTCAGGGATGATGGGAGTTGTAGTCCATCAACATCTGGGGACCCACAGGTTGAGAACCGCTGCTCTAGAGAGACAAGATTTGTAAAAGACTCAGGGCCAGTTTGGGTGATTTCATTTCTGGTTCACTGCACAGAGCAATGCACTGTCCCTGCATATCTATCCCACTTATAGCCTGTGTACATAAAAGCCTAGGTACATCAGGCAATATTTTATTTAGCAATTGACCACACAGTGTTAGCCTACATAAATAAGATTGCATGCATGTTCTGTGTTTGGATTTGTCATCTGCATGTGAATGTGTGGGGACAGCAGAGTTGAGATAGTGTGATGGATGGAGGATGCCCGCCCCCTCCTCATGATAACTTGGTCAGTAATAAACTGGTTGTACTGTAGGTTGAATACAATTATAAAAGAATTGCTATGAGTTGCTGGGGAGAGTTGAGACCTTTCTAACCCCTGGATCCAGCAAGTGTTAAGCCTGGCCCCTGTGTTGATTGGCTGGGTGATGGGCCATTAAGAGAACAAAGGGAAGGGGGCTCTGTTTGAGACAACAAATGGGCGCGCCCCCTCCTTCAACTCAGAGATAGTTACCGTAGATGGAGAAAGCCAGAGTCTGAAGTAGAGTTTTGGGGCTGTGATGTGAACTAGGGTAAAAGTAAGTAGCTAGAGAGAGAGTCAGAGCAACATGGTTTGTGAAATTAGTTGATGGTGGGAGGAAAAAACAGAGGGACATGGAAGCAATAAACATCCCCTCCAATTTGGAAATAATCATTGTGATTTAAACAGAAACACAATACATATCACCACAGTGGAGAAGACTTTGAGTACTTATTCATACTTACCTTTTGCCCCATTCTTTAAACCAAACTTGATTGGATAGCCCTTCAAATGGATCAGGAGTACGGAACCTGTGACTTTCCAGATATAGCTGGACTACAGCTCCCATCATCCTTGTCCATTGGCACTGCTGGCTAGAGCTGAAAGGAGTTAGTGTCCAACAACCTCTAGGAGGCTGCATGTTCCTCATCCCTAAAGTAGTGGACTGTCATCTGTAAAGTAGGACACATGACTACTTTGTGGATTAGGTGTTGGTTCCAAGGTAGCTGAGACTCTGAATAGGAGCACTCTTTTTAGTGATTGGGGATACATTGCAATATTACATTGTGTGCTTATAATGCTCACAGTCTGCACTTCAAAGGCAGAAACAGTGTTATATACTTGCCTTAAGCAGGACTGGGAGTAAAATGTGAATTAGAAAAAGAAAGGTCTTGTCACCTTCAGCAAATTATGGCATGCTTTTTCTTTCTAGAGGAAATGTTTTTCTCCACCCCAAAACATTAGTTCCTTCTCTTATCTCTGAACAAGGTGGGTGTGGACCTCCTTTCCTCTCTAAAGCTCAACCCAGCGACACATTTTTTTGGGGGAAATTAGCTACAGAATATCAGCTACAGAATATCTCATCCCTGCACTCCAAGTTAATGCACTCAGGGGGGGAACTAGCTCATAACTGTTTCTCCTTATCAACCTTAAGTTTGCACTGTAAAAAGGAATATGTGTGTAGGGCATGCCTCTATATGAGCCTCACAAAGTAGTTAAAGGAGAAGTGGCTAACCTTTTCTGGCCCATGGACTGCATTCACCCTTGGCCAACCCTCTGAGGGGCAGTGGCCACCCCAGACAAAGGTGAATCTAGGGGCGCCCCACCAGTTCAGTCACACTGGGCACAGAGCTTCTGAGGTGTCACTGCTGGTGCTGCAGCTATGAAGTCCAACAGAAGACCAGAGGTAGGGGGACAGATTTTGGTGTTGCACAGGACGCCATGGAAATTTGAGGTGCCAAGGTCTGCCACTGCCACTTTTGCAGGCATACCCTCAGGCATGTACACAGTTCCCGCTCCTTAACTAACCTGTGCAGATCAGCTAGGAGGTTGTCATAAAATGATGAATCTGGTGACTAGGGAGGGAATGATCTGCCTCTCCCTCAGAGTGCTGGGTTGCATGGAGAAATGTAAACCTCTCTTCCCACTTCAGCTCAGTGTTAAATTTATTTGTTAATGTTTTGCTGCACCCAAAATCAGTGGGTCCATAGGCTATAATTTTCTTTTGGAGGGGTGCCTAATCCACCTCCTGCCCCAGGACACTGTTTAACACTCTTAGGCAAGAGGATAAATGCTACAGGTTAAATAATCTTAAAAATGGGTTATACACCTTTCAGAATGGCAGACACTCTCCAAATATTGTGGGATGGTGATGCCCACCCATCTGCCATCTTAAGTGTGCCAATGACCTTCAACACACCATTAATCACACACAAAGTAAATTCGTTGAAACGAAGAACTTTATTTCAATGGGTATACAGTCATACCTTGGATCCCGAACGCCTTGGTACTCAAACGTTTTGGCTACTGAACGCTGCAAACCTGGAAGTGAGTGTTTGGGTTTGTGAACGCTCTTTGGAACCCGAACGTCTGATGGGGCTTCCGCAGCTTCTGATTGGCTGCAGGAGCTTCCAAGGTACTACTGTATTTAAAGGGATGTCCATTGCTCAAATACACTTGAAAGAAAAGGAAGTGGTTGGGGGCATCCTTAAGGCACTGCTCTCCCTTGAGAGCATTTTCACAGGGTGCTTAGATTTTTAACAGGGAAGAGAAAGCGGAAGAGGACTCTTTGTTGTACAGATTGAAGTGAGCCTTCTGGCCAATGCATATTTTTACATCCATATATCAAGCCTGACGTGTGAAATTGCCCTTACAATGAATGTGAGCCTCTGCTACTGATTTTGTACATGAGTCAATACTGTTAATGTGGGAAAGAAAGCCAATTACCAGTAGTTCCCGTGGGGGTGGGGAATACATTTTTTCACCAGTATAAACCGTACACATGTAGGGACTACAAAGCTGTAAAAATGGCCTTATCGGAGCAGGACATTCAATACAGGATCTCAAAGCAGCTGTCTTATTACAAAAGAATTTCAGAAACACTTGAAAGAGAAGTTGCCGAATTACAACTTATCACTAAACTGAAAACTATGGAGAGACCTGGTCTTAATAGAGATATTAGATTCCTGTCTCATTACATATGCTAATCATCTGCATACTATCCCTTGCTTTTTCCTGTAGAACTAATTGCAGTCATTAACAGTTGTCAACAGGTTTACCATACCAATTGAGTCAATCACCCATCTCCTACTACCCTCCTGAGAAGAACCCCACCCCACCTTCCCACTATACCGTATATAAGGTTCTGGTGACTTCTGTTTCAGTGTATCTGGAAAAGTGTGCATGCACATGAAAGCTTATACCAAGGACAAACTTAGTTGGTCTCTAAGGTGCTGGTGACCATCAGGGCTGGAGGGGTGGGAGTCAGGTATGCCAAGAGTAGGTGGAGCCTGGGCCAATGATGGGCAGAGCCAAACAATTCCAGTTTTGCCCCCATCCTCCTTGCTACTGAGTTCTGCAAGGGCAACACTGAGATTGAGGAGGAGAAAACTGATAGCCAGTGTAATTCGCTGGAAGACAGGCAGGTGGGAGCTGGATGAGGGCAGCCTGAAGTTGGTAGGGCAGGGCCACATTTGCCTCCACTGTGTATGGCGATAATTTTCAGAGGCTGTTGTGGAAAAAAGGGGAGAAATACAGTCTTGTGGCACCTGCAAGGCTGACCTTTTATTATGACATAACAGAATCACAGACTTGTAGAGTTGGAAGGCTCCCAAGGGTCATCTACTCCAATCCTCTACAGTGCAGGAATCACAGCTAAAGCATCCCTGACAGATAGACAGCCAACCTCGGCTTCAAAACTTCCAATGAAAGAGAGTCTGCCACCTTCTGAGGGAGTCCATTCCACCTTCCAACAGCAAGTTCTTCCTAATGTTTAGTCAGAATCTCCTTCCTTGTATTTTGAATCCATTGATTCATCAGATGTACCCCAGCATTCACCTTGGATCTTGTGTTGTTGTTTAGTCGTGTCCGACTCTTCGTGACCCCATGGACCAGAGCACGCCAGGCACTTCTGTCTTCCACTGCCTCCCGCAGTTTGGTCAAACTCATGCTGGTAGCTTCGAGAACACTGTCCAACCATCTCGTCCTCTGTCGTCCCCTTCTCCTTGCGCCCTCCATCTTTCCCAACATCAGGGTCTTTTCCAGGGAGTCTTCTCTTCTCATGAGGTGGCCAAAGTACTGGAGCCTCAGCTTCAGGATCTGTCCTTCCAGTGAGCACTCAGGGCTGATTTCCTTAAGAATGGAGAGGTTTGATCTTCTTGCAGTCCATGGGACTCTCAAGAGTCTCCTCCAACACCATAATTCAAAAGCATCAATTCTTCGGCGATCAGCCTTCTTTATGGTCCAGCTCTCACTTCCATACATCACTACTGGGAAAACCATAGCTATAACTATATGGATCTTTGTTGGCAAAGTGATGTCTCTGCTTTTTAGGATGCTGTCTATTGGATCTTGTAATTGCCTCTTAATGTCTTCTGAGCCTCTTCCTCCTCTTCTCCAGATTTTATGGCAAGTCTCAGATTGGAGCATGGCGAATAATCACACACACACACACACACACACACACACACACTACTGTATGTGCCATCAAGGGCCTTGTAATCGCCCAGAGCACTTGATCAATGTCAATCAACTGCTTCATGACATGTGACAGTCCCTTATGCTGACAGGGAAGGTGATGTGGAAGGAAACCCACAGAGGGTGCAGTGGGCTTCTTTAATCCACCTCTCCCTCTCGTCTCCATAACTTCCCTCCTTTCTTTTCTGCCCGCCTGGCAGACAGACAGACAGACACACAGCGCAAGCCTCCCTCTTGTAGCCTGGTGTCCTGATTCCGCTCTTGAGAGCTCCATCTCTCTGAAGTTCCCCAGGGCTTCCCCCGCCCTGGCAAAGAAAGCCTCGCAAGAAAGGCGTGTCCTCCTTGTCAGGATTGCTGCTGCTGCTGCTGCGGGAGGCAGCTCGGAGCTATAAAAGCCCTGCTCAGAGGACGGCTTGGGCTTCACTCCCCGCCTCTGCTTGCTGCGAGAGCACCGAGGCCGTGCAGAGCCAAGCAGCGCCGCCGCCGCCTGCGTGCCTGGGGGCAAAAGAGAAAGCGAGCGAGCGAGCGGAGACGCGCAGCCACCGAGGGCGCCGGGCAAGCCCAATGCGCGGACTAGGTGCCTTTGCAACATGCAGGAGCTACACATCAGCTAAACGGAGTTTGCACGCCGCTGCTGGGGCTGGATTGCAGCGCTCTCTTTCCTTATGAAGAAGGCACAAGTGAGTATCGCACGGGGGAAGTTATGCGCTCTTGTGGTATATATTTTTGCACGGATAGGTGGCGGCGGCGGGGAGATGGTCTCCTCTCCGGATGACTCAGAAAAGAGCAATTGCTCAGGGAACTCGGAGAACCCGCTCTTAGGCCGGAGTAGCGCTGCCTTCCTTCCTCGGGCACTTGTCTCAACTGAGAGAGACCTGCCCGGGGCTGTCGGAGTGCACGCTGAATGCTGAGCTGACAGGCGTCTGAGTCTCGGGAGTGTAGCAGGAGCTCTTAACTTCCTGCACGTGGATTCGGGTGGCACAGACATGGAAGTCGTCTCTGGGTTCCCAGCAGATGGGCATCGACCTATAGCGCTTGGGATGTGCTGATGATGAGCTAGCCCTCTGCCAGGTTGCTCTGGCCCAGAAGCACTGCGTCCGTTTCTCGCCAAGGCGCCTTCCCCACGACAGCGCTGTTCCCGAGTTTCGCGCAGCAAGACGCTGCCCTTATCTGTTCCTTTCTCCTTATCTGCACTGTCCTTTGTGCAATTTCGAGGGAAAGTTCCTTGCTGCACTGATAGGGCACTATTAATAGATGATGTATTACAGATGGTGTGAATAGTGCACACACGAGATAAGCAGGTTGGCAAGCAGGCGCACGGAACCTGCCCTCACTGAAATTTTGCTGGGAGAGAGACATGCTGCTGCTTATTTCTGGCTTGCAGCAACTTCATTCAAACCTCCCGTTCTGTGCACATCCCTTCCATGTACACTTGCATCTGTCACCACCAATACACTTCCATTTCTCTCTCCTTGCCCAACCTTGCTTAATGCATAACTATGTGCGCTTATTAGAACCCTCTTCCATTATTGCTTCCCAAGTTGCGTCCAAGTGGCCGGTAGTGTATCATATATATGAAGCATAAGGTGTTTGGAGAGAAAGGAACCAGAAAATAATTGCTCTGGGATTTATTTTTATTTTTTTATTGCTAATTGCAGTAAGCTGCTTAAAGTGTGACTTAAAGGGAATGGGTAGTGTGCAGAAGTTGTGTCTACTTTCCCTTACTGTATGGCATTTGGTTTTGTTTAACGTTTTCACATAACTGGTTCTTTCCTTTCCCCACCCCCTTATCGCAAAGCTGTGCTTACTTTCCTGCCAACTTCCTTCGGTACCTACTGCTCTCTTGGCTCATTCCATTTTAGGTCTTTCATGTGTATCTAATAGGGGAAAGGATGCAGTGGATGCAAGAAAGGAAATAAGGTGGGAGGGGGGAATCAGGGAAATTCACTTGGGTAGATCAGTCCATTGGTTGCTCAAGAAGACTGAAACAGGGAGGCTCTGTATTTTATGTGACACTTAGCACTTAATTTTGGGAGCCTGAGATCTTAGGCACCCTGAAAGATTTAATACCTATTTGCAGGTTAGATTGATCTCTGACAGTCTTTTTAGTACTGTAGTACTGGAAAGTAAAAGTCCTACAAACTTTGGCTGTTGGGTGGTTGGCCTTTAATTGCCTGGTTTGTACCCAAAGTGCAGAGTTAGGCTGTATGCTGCAAACTTCCAGGTGTCTGAATCTGCTTAGAACTAAATGAGCACTCACAAGCTCTTCCAAAAGCTGGTTGCAATGTAATGAGGACAAGGGATTTGCTTTAAAAATAAAAACTTTAAACGGCAATGCCGGCTAGATCTCACTCCTAGACTAGAACCTGAGTCCTTTGGAAAAGGAAAGTTTATTTTTAATGTAATGTTAATGTTAACATTCCAGATTCCAGCAAAGCTGACATGATAGATCTCATCCCATTAATCTGAGGAAGGAGGCAGTTAGCCTTGGTGCTCTGGGTCATATGGCTGAGCTCAGGAGTTCCTCACGGTGGCCTGTGGCACCGTTTTGACTTAGCAGAGAAGCATCCATCAGCCGCCACCACACTCTCAGCCTTCTTGTGAGCTGGAATTCAGTTTCAGGGATGTGGTCAGGCTGAGAGCGATATTTTTATTTTTGTCATTGGAAAAAAATGGAGGGTGGGGGCCATTTGCCGAAAGATCTGTTCTCTTCTTGCTGAACAGTGTTAGATGTTAATCTAAGCCGAGAAGGGCAAAAACAAATGTCTGATTCCTTCGGGAGAGATCAGAGTAGACGAGGCTTCAAGCAAGAAGAGGAAGTGCCTCTCCTCCCTCTCCCCACTTTAGAAAAAGTAACATTCCACACTCAAGGCAAGTGGAAACTAATCTGGTGGTGATAGTCAAGCACACCTGATATCCCCCTGCTCCCTTTGTGTCATGCAACAGAGTGCGAATGAAATGGATTAAACCAGAGGATGTTTCACCTGAGGTGTGGATATAGGTTGATGTTAGTAGGCGCCTGCCTTTTGACCCAGGGAGAGGGGGGATTGTACTGAATGACCTCTAGGTGGCTTCGGAGTGTGATGTAATCAGCCACTACATCATTCTACGTCAACCATTGTTTTATACCTTTCATCTTGCTTCTGTAATATGCTCTATTGTTCCCGTCACATTTTTACCCAATGGCTTTTTGAAGAAAAAAGGGAGGGGGTGAGAGAAACAAGGTGGATAAGGGAATAGCTTCTGCTTCAAGGTCTTTGCATTAGGAATTTGTATTAAATATTTCAGGTCAGATTTTCAGCTTGGATCCAAACATCTTTTCTTGGAAGTAAGTCCTGCTGAGTTCAGTACTGAGTTCAGGAGGACCTAGTTCGTAGCAAGCATGCTTCGTATTGCAACCTAAGGCTCTACTGCTAAGCATGCTTGATGGGAGTAAGTCCCACTGAACTCAGTGAGACCTGTGTGTTTATGACCGGCTTTAAAAATGAAGTTTTTGAGCAACTGGTATGACTTACACAGAAAACCACCAGTTTTGTTGTTATTATGATTTTTAATCCTTAAAATTCATTATAGGACATATGCCAGATATGAACATGCTTATATATACAAATATGTGAGTATATCGTAATGTGGAAGTTTAACTCTTCTATTATGGTTAGGGGTACAGTTAGAAAAACAGATGCATATGAATAAGGTAGTTTGATGTGCAAGAGAAGAACTTCATTTATAACAGCCTTGATGTGTAGTTTGTGACCTCCCACACTTAAAGGAAAGAACCAAAGTAAGGTGGCACCACTTTTATCATATTGGAAAACACTTTTCATAACTGGGAACTGAGCATGTATGTACAAGATTTTATTATATGTTATGGTCTTTACAAAAATGTCTTTGTAGTAATGCCTTTTAAATTAACCATGTAGGATTCAAACATTCAGCTACTCATTTACAGTAAGCACACTGATGTAAGCACATTGAAGGATTACTTGGGTGAGAGGATTTGCAGGATGATAAGTTTTAGTAAAAGAAACACTAGTACAAGAGGCAAATCTATACAATTTTGACCCTATCATTCAAAACATTAAAGTTCTCACAGTAATTGTTGGAAACGTGTTTTAAGAAAAAAAGGGGGCAGGGGAGAATGAGTTTAGAAAATTTTGGACTTGCAAAAAAGCCCCTATTTTTACAGCTTCGATTCTGCAGCTAATATATTGGGAGAAGTGTGTGTGTGTGTGTTTTAAAAAGATACTGCAGTGATTGCACCAACTGTATGTCAGGCATTGAAATATGAGGGATAATAATGAATTTGGTGATAACTGCCCAGAGCCCGTCAGAAATTTGACCTGTTGGCTAGACATGCAAACTTTAGGAGACCTTAGTAGTGGAAAAGAGCTAGAGGCAGAAAGAATACAGCTTTCTTTTGTTGAATGCGTACATTCATTGCCAGCAGTTATATGACCTTCAGGGCTTCTCAGCGAGGACAGTCCTGGTAGTGCAGCATTCTTGCTGTTGAAGAGGATCTTTGGAAATAAGCTGGCAGTGCAAACCATACCAGAATATTTCCTGAAGGAGAGCAGAAATAAAGGGAAGATGATATCACCACCACCACCACCACCACCATAATCATTATATCTTGCAAGACAAACCAATTCCCATACCACTTGAAGGACTTGTGCACTTGATTCAGAAGCCTTCTTAAAGACCCAATTTTTGTGACAAAGCAGTCTTTGCTTTGGGAAATGAGAACTGCACTCGTAAAGGGGCAGTTAAACTTACCGACCTGGTCTGGATCTAGACGTGTCCAAGTTGTGACTCAGCTTTTTGTTTAGTCGTCTTAGTCGTGTTCGGCTCTCCGTGACCTGACCCCATGAACCAGAGCATGCCTTGGAAACTCTCACTTTCTTCTCAAATCTTCTCCGTTTTTATGTCCATGGAGTTTTCGTGGCAAAATACTGGAGTGGATTGCCAGTTCCTTCTCCAGGTGGATCACATTTAGTCTAAACTCTCAGCTATGACCTGTCCATCTTGGGTGGCCCTGCACGGCATAGTTCATAGCTTCTCTGAGTTATTCAAGCCCCTTCACCACGACAAGGCAGTGATCCATGAAGGGGATGATTCAGCTAAACGTGTTGTAAACTCATAAAGTACAGCGGTACCTCGGGTTACATATGCTTCAGGTTACATATGCTTCAGGTTACAGACTCCACTAACCCAGAAATAGTACCTTGGGTTAAGAACTTTGCTTCAGGATGAGAACATAAATTGTGCTCCGGTGGCACGGCGGCAGCAGGAGGCCCCATTAGCTAAAGTGGTGCTTCAGGTTAAGATCAGTTTCAGGTTAAGAACAGACCTCCGAAACAAATTAAGTACTTAACCCGAGGTACCACTGTACATGGAAATCCAGTAGGGAAAGACTGGACTCCACAGCACCATCTGGTGTCACATTGTTATATTGCATATACAACATATATAAAACACTTCCTCTTTACCAATCTAGCTGAGTCCCTGTAGTATTGAAATGCCACTTTGTTCTCCTAATAGCCTAATAATAAAAAAGAATACCAAAGAGAACACCTGGGGGTGAGAGGCAGCACCTCCTTGAGAATCAGAGGAGAAGGTTCAAAGATTCAATGATTATGCCCAGATGCAAAAGAGCTGAGCTGGAAATAAGTTTGGGTTTTGA